TTTTTTAAAAAAAATAAATATTTATAAATTATAAAACACGTCCACCTTTTTAAGGGAAAAAAAGGTTAAGTACCTTTTTTAATCCCTTTATTATTAAAAAAAGCTTTTTTTTATCTTTATATTGAAAAAATATCCTTTTTAATTCTTAAATATTAAAATTCGATCCTTTTTTGATTCCTCTATTAAATTTTTTTTATAAATGACAGTTAATTAATGAAATTGTGTGATGTGAAAAATTCACTTTGTAAAACAAAATGATGTGGATATATTTTTAAGTCTACATAAGCATCTTCACCCTTTTAGTTTTTTTTTTTATTTTTAACCTTTGCTCGGTTCATTGTGAACCCACCCAAGCGTGCTAGGTTTGTCGTGGGTAGGTGATGAACTCAGGTGCAAGAACCCAAGCACATACCTGGGTTTGCCACAAACTTAGGCGTGTGTTGGGTTCGTCTTTGGTTTGTGATGAACCCAACCGTGCGAATCCATGCGTGCACCTGGGTTCACAATGGACCCAATGTGCGAACCCAGGTGCACATTGGGTTTGTCGAGATTCTAGATGTGTGCCTGAATTCGCAACGAACCCAATGCACACTTGGGTGAGTTTGCGATGAACCTAGCAAAAATATAAAGAAAAACCAAAAAGATGAAGATGCTATAGAGGACTCAAAAATATGTCCACATTATTTTTTTTTACAAAGTGAATTTTTCACATCATATAATTTCATTAATTAACCGTCATCTGTTAAAAAATTTAATGCAGGAACTAAAAAGAGCCGGATTTCAATATTTAGAGACTAAAAAGGGGGTCTTTTCAGTATAGGGATAAAAAAGAATTTTTTTCAATAGTAAAGGGACCAAAAATGATATTTAACAAAAAAAAAAAAAGAAGAAAAAAAGAAAGGTGTGACTTATTCAAAAATGAAAAAATTAATTAAACGCAGCCTTATCTTCATCACTCTCACGTACCTCAGAGTGTGACAGGGACTGGAAAGCTCTTATCTTAAGACGAACTCCCTGAGCCTGAGTGAACGAGTTAGCCAGTTTATCGTCTTCAAAATTCATAGCTTGTTGATGTTTAAGTCTTGATGACAGAATGCTTCTCCAAACCACCGTCTCGACTCCACTCCCTTTCCCTCCCCCACCGCTTTCTCACTCTCTGCACTCATCTGGGTCTCTTAAGATCAGGCCCAAGAAGCTCTCTCTTCAGGTAGAATTCAGTTTCCTATATCCTCCTAAAATATGTTTTCTTTAAGGTTGTTGTCTTGTATAATTCTTTGAAAGGGTTCAAAAATTTTCTGCTCTGTACACTTTTTCTTGAAGACTTTGCTATCTTGAAAAGGTTAACTTTTTATCCTGAGTGCCTTCCAAGAACCATGCTTTACTGACCCATAATTGGGTCCTGACATGGGTGCCTGCCTTTGTTATGGATTTTCCTGATATCTTCATTTCACAGAATTTTTCTGCTGTGAAAAACAGTTTGAGAAATTTTGGAGCTGTAATAATGTTGTTTACTGATGATAGAATTTTGAGTGTAATGAAGGAGGAGGAGTATGATAGGAGTGAAGATTAGCTGTTAGTATAATAGGAGTATTATATGATAAATAGTTTGCGGCTTCATGGAAACAGAAAGCTATAAATTTTTCTCTTTTTGCTAAATTTTCAACTAAATCTGGACTGTTCGAAATCTTTCAATTGCTAGAATAAAGAAGAAAGTGATAGTGAATATCTCTTTTTCCGTAAATCCCTACTAAATTTTGTTTATTCCTCTTAACTGCAATGATGAGTTGTTAGTAGTTTCTAATGTGGATCTTTGTTGCATGCATGGTCTTAAATTTCTTTACTAGTAAATTTTTCTCTTCAATGCAAAATCTGGTAATGTTGTTGTTAACCACACAGACTCTTGTTCAGTGCTATGGTGTGCCAGCTTTGAAAAACTTGACAACCTATGAAGTATTTCCCTCTTTTCAGGTATGTGTTCAGATACTTTCTATGTTTCTGTACTTGTATCTTCCTGACCATGTTTGCTAAAGAAAAGTTGTTGCATTATAGCTTGTGAGAACATATGCTTCATTTATTTTTTTCTTAGTTTAATCCCTGCTTGGTGCTTGTGGGAAAGGACTCTGTTCATTATGCAATTGAGGGGCTATATATTAAATTCCCAATCTTCTTTCCTAAAAACTTTAGGTACTATCTGGATCACATTCCATAAAAAAAATAAAAAATAAAAAATCCTACTTTGCTTCATCTTATGTTCTTTTCCTTTTTGACAACAAGAAGTCTCTTCCCCTTGCTTTCTGATTCTGAGTCCTGACACACCCATTTAAATATGAATTTGAGTTTGTGCTTTAAGTAAATATACATAGAACCAGAATGATTTCCATGATGAAGAGTTTTGTTTACGTGCTAATTTAATGTGGCTGTGAGATGTGGAATTGAGAGCCGTTTTTGAATATTTGTTCCCTTTTCTTTCTTTCTTTCTTTATTGATTTAATACTAAAGGTGTTGGCTAGTTTAGTATGTCTTAATATGATTAATGATGTCGTTGTGGTCAACTTTTCAACTGTACCTCACATTCTTGAAGCTTCTATTTTTGAATGATTGATAATTGTTAATTTACTTCTTTTATTCTTTAGCTTAAAAAAAAAAAAAAATCTTTAGAACCTCGTAAATTTACATGTTATCACTTATCAACCTCAGTCTCAAGTCTCAACTTTTAGTTGAGAGGAATGAGCAGTTTCCTACCTTTTAATAGAAATTGAAAAGTGTATTAGTAAAAGGCAACTCATTAAATGTGGCTCACAAGATTCTCCCTTGTGTGAATTTCTTATTTATGTTAACTTCTTTTTTCTCCTTTCTTCTTCTGTGTTTCTCTTTGTGAAACTTGTGATGATATACTCTTATTTAATGACCTCATTTGTGCATGTTTAATTATTAGTTTTTCATTATTCTTTTAATCCATGTTGGAAGAAGGCAGATAAATTTTTTAATGACGAAACACATGCATGTGTATTTGCATTTTTAACTTTTTCTCTTTTTCTAATCGGTTGTGGATGAAGGCAGATATTTCAAAAGGAAGTGGCCATGGAGTCTGCAGTCTCAACAAAATTTGACAGTAATTCCCCCTTCTCATTGTTGCCTTTTAGTCATAAAGTGCAAAACCTTTTAGTAGCACTTCTAATAGGAAAACTTCATATTCTGCTTTTGATGCAACCTATAGATGTGGAATGATTTAAGAAGGAAGATAATTGGATGTAGATGTATTAGATGGCCAAATAAGTACATGCATTCTCCAGTGACTGATGCTAAAGATAAATATGTTTTATCTGTTGGAGTGTGGATTAGCTGTAACATCTTTTTGATAACAAGTTTCTGAATTTTGACAATTTCCCTTTAAATCTCCATTTTGTTGCAGAATGTTTGAATAACCTTCTGATCACTGACAATTTAAATGTGAAGAAGTCATTAATTATGGTGTCTGCATGCCTACTTGGTCAAACCTCGTGGTTGATCTCTGCACAAGTAGCATATGCTAGTGAACTTACCCGAGGAAATGCAGTTTATGAGATTGGAGAGTTGTTTGAATTAGGAATCCAGTTATCTTATCTACTTTTACTATTGGGTTTGCTTGGGGCTGGAACCTTTTTTGTGATCCGTCAAGTACTTGTACGCAGAGAACTTGACCTTTCTGCCAAAGAATTGCAGGTAAGCCTATCTTCTTTTTACATGCCAAGTTTTCATCTCTAACTATTCCGTTCATAAAACCTTGACATTTGTGGGCCTTAAAATTGAAATGAAGACGAATTAAGCTTATTATGCTAAGATTAAAGTGACTAAGAAACTTTGAGCTTTCCATCTCTCTTTGCTCTCACAATGATTGCCGTATATGC